GCGATGGAATTAAAATTATATATTTAATAACAGAACTTAGCTGCTAACCTTGTAGAAAGAAGTACTGTACGGGCCCTCTGCTGGAATGATACTACAGAGTTGGAATTTCAAAGTCTATAAAAAAAATTTTTATTTATGATCTTAACTCAATTTTTTTTAATTTTAATTTGGTTGAAAATCATAGTTTAAGAGAAAAAAAAGTAAGAAAAAGAAAGAATAGATGTTGCCAGTTATAAATCTCAACTATTAAATAAAATTTTTAAAAATATAAGGTAATCAAAAGAGATTAAAAATCGCTTTCAATAAGATTTGTTTTATAATATAAGCACGTAAGAGGTAACCACGGGAAAGGTGAGCATAGTGAGCAGTTGGCAAAATCTCTCAGCAGTTTAAAAAACATAACAACGTAAAATTTTTAAATATAATATTTAATCCAACATAGAATAATAATTTTCACATTTTTATTTCAATAAATTTTTTTATTATTGCATTTACTTATTTTTCTTCCATAGTGTAATTCGCAGAAATTAAGTAGTTTTGAAGTTGAAATTGATTTTGTAGTTTTACTTCCGTAAGAGAGAGAGATTGAGAGAGAGCGTTGTTCGCTAAGTCCTGACATTCATTTCTTTTATCTGATATTAAAAGAAAAATATCGGGTTTTATCAAAAATTATAACAATCCTATCATGAAATTTTTAAATGATAAATTAAAGGATCATCATCCTAACTGCTTATGTATAAAACTGTTAGGTTGCATATTAACTTCGATTTCATTTTCAAATTATTACAACCCATTTGCAACATTTTTGGATTAAAAAACTCGATTACAAATAGTATTTAGATATCAGTATGAGGAAACACTAATTAATCTGTACTAGTTATTTTTTAATTACAACAGTGATTTTAAATTTTTTCTATATTGATTTCAAGCTATTATGAAATGTTCATTGCTCCTTAAACAAAATTATACTTGGAACATAACTTTCAGTTCTTGACAAATAATTGTGACAAAAATAGTGTCTTTTTTATTTTTTGCTATAAAATTTGTTTTTATTATAATAAAGTAGATCAAATCATACACTTTTTCTCGAGTTAACGTTTGACCTTTGTAAATATAGTGTTAAGTATGAACAGTGTTCCAAAATATGTCCTAATATTTTCTTTGGCCCACTTCGAGGTCTGATAGTGTCTAATTGAAATAAAAATAATTATTCTCTAAGAAGAACAGAAAACTGTGTGAACTCTCTCTCACTCCAAAAATAAATTGATTTACAATAATTAACTGTACAAAATTTTAAAAGAAGTAAATAAAAAAACAAAAATTATGAGGAAATATATTGTATTTTTAAAAAGAAAAAATTAAAAGGAATACCCACTAACAATGAAGAAAATTTTCATTTAAAAAAATTGCTGTTCTATTTGGTTTGCAATAAACATTATAGGCATATAAGTTCATCAAATTCTAAGGTAATTTAAGATCGAATTTATACTTTAACTAAGGATTTAAAAATTATAAAACCTAATTAATAATTAATCGAAAATGAAGTATAAGTCGGAAAATAAATATTTGTGAACACAATTTATTTATTTATGTTTTTCAATTTGTGTTAAAGAATTTGCTTTTGCCTGGATATTATTTAAAAGCAAAATGCTGTATTTATAAACAGTAACAGCTTATAAAATTATAGATCAAGGGTGACCAGGCTCATTTATAGTCGAGTCATTTTCCAAAATTTGAAGTTTTTGCAATTAAATACGTATTTAAAAGGTTGACAAAAAAGGTATTGAAATTTTTTTTACAGAAATTATATTTATTGAAAACAGATAAATAAAAGTACAAAATATGTGCATTGAATTTAAATTTTAAAAATTAAACACATTAATTTTACTTCTCTTGATAATTCTTCAAAATTTTTGTGAATAATTGGTGACAGCATTTCTCAGTAAATCTTTGAGATGCTGGTGACTTACTACTGGTCGATGTTTGGATTTCACGAATTTTGAAGTGTAATAAAATAATTACGGACGATTACGCCACTGTTTATGTTCGTTCGCGCAGTTTTCGATGACTCATATCATTCTTAACTTGAGTGGAAAAAAATTTGTTGAAACGTTGAACACTTAGTCTTTCAAATTTGTTGTCAGTAATTTAAAACACATTTTGAATCACATAAAGAACGATAATAATTTTTTTAAATGTAATAGCAGAAAAATGAAAAGGGTACTCTGGTACACTGATCGTAAGCCAGAAATAATCCATCAAAGAAGCGCATGTAGCTCGCGAGCAGCAGGTTGCCCCCGTCCCCTGTTATATGTATAAACAAACGGAGAGACAAAAGAGAACAGAGAGGTAAATAAACGCTATGATTTGCGAATATTTCATTATGAAGTTAAATTCACGTTTAATTTTTATATTAACGATAATTTTGAGCACGGTCGATAATTGATCATAATTGAACTGTATTAAGAAAGTTATAAGCTGTCATTATGTGTTATTCAATGGAATAAAAGATATTGAGATTATTAATTGGTGTTTCAAATTAAAAATTAAACTAAGAACTTTTAATATGAACAGTTATTCTGAATAGCTTTCTTCGGACCCATTTTTTTTTCTCTTCCTTCTGCGCATGCTTAGACGCAATATATTTTAAAAACTATAAATCTTCAAAGGAGATTATTGTAAGTAACATTCTTATGAAGGAGGTCATCATTATTTTAAGAGAAAAAAAGGGGACATTTTCTACGAATTGTTACTCCATCTATATGTGGCTCCACTTCGCTAGTTTTGTTCAACATAGGAAATTATTTTACAGCAGTTTATGTTGAATGGAAAAAAGTGCACTGTCGAATCTAGGTTTGTGCCGAACGGGTACGAGTTAAACGGGTGTATCCGAAATAGGTAGGTGGTTCTAATAACAGCAATCATTCTAATTACAAAAGCTAAATAAACTGGATTAGATAATTATAATTTTGTTAATAATAATTATACTTTTCATTGTTTAGAATGGGATCGATGACATTTTTTGATCAGACCTCTCATAAATATAAGTTTGTCATCCTTATAAAAATAAATAATTATTTCATAATAATAATCCCGAAATATTTATTTCATTTCGGAAATTTTTCAAAAAATATTAATTAAAGGTCGTGGCTATAGAGCACTGAATTTTTTTTTCTGTATGGAACAATAATAACTCAATTTTAAAACGTGTAAAAAACTCTTTAAAGAAACTTTTTTTTTATATCAAAAACTTCTTGGAAGATAAATAAATTTAGACGTCATCAAATATTGTATCCAATCCAAGGAGTGTAGAGTAATAAATTGATTCGATGCAAAAGACTTAAATAATCTTCATAGAATATTAATTTTTAACATCTACCGAGAAAAGTCAAGCCCCGAAAAACTATTGTGAAAGAAAACACCTTTTATCTTGTGTTAACAACGAAGCCCCTATAATCCAGTTTCTCCTCTAGACCAGGACAACTTATCTCAGTTTTTTATTACTTTAGTCAATGATGGAGCAAAAAGAAACAGAAAAAATTGCAACTTGAAGTCTATTTATAGANTATACACACACTAATGAAAAACTTACTGAAAGTGAAATATTTTATTTGCCTCTTCTGAATAGTCATATTGTATAGTTTGCTTGGATAGTTATATTTTGAAGAACAATTTCGAGTTAAAATACTTATTTTGAGTATTTAGAGTAGGCTGCTTTTGCCCACAAATTACACACGGAATGACGAAATCTTGTACTTTGCGAAATGTGGAGCTGTCATATACAGGAACGCTTGAATAACAAGTTTCGAAATCCTAACAAGTTCTTACAAGAAAAAAAAAATGAAAATGTGCAATACCTTTTGCTGTCATAGATAACAGTAAATGTTGATTTTAATGGTAAGTTGACGAGAAGAGAAATAAGGGGACATAACAGATGTGTAGTCAACATAAGGATTATTATTTCGCATTGCCTGGCATGAATTCTGGAAAAAGTAGAGAAACTTTTCCTTTGTTAAGGTGAAGTTAACTTAGCGGGAGTTCACCACATACTGCTTTTTAAAAATAAATGGTTAAAATTGTGAGAAGGAAGCGATGATCTTTTTTCGCTTTTTGGTGTAGATGCCAGAAATGAATTAAAATGTCTCCTATTTAAAGATTTTTTCGTATACTATTACACAGTTTATCAGCAGAAAAATGCATTCTCCCAAAGAAGAGCGAATGGTAAATAACTTTTACGCTTTATAAACATACAATCACTAAATAGAATGCCGACCGGCCTGTATAGGGGGTAGGAAACTGTACTTGCATCAGAAAGTTCCTGGGTTCGAATCCCGGACAAGGCATGGATGTTTCTTTCTCTCTCTCTGTGTTCTATGTCCTTTCTCCTTCGTGTGTGAATGTGACCAGCTCTATAAACGAGTTGCGGTTGTGTGAATGTCGTGGCAGAAGTCGAATTCCTGGCCATAGACGTCCCCAGGACAGCACCAGGAANAAAAAAAAAAAGAATAGAACAACAAGAAGACGCTAGTACACCAGCCTTCATGCGAAATATTGGCTGCAGAAAAGCGAAAAAGAATGAAAAACAAAAAACGATTTAGCATTTTAAACATACTAAAATTTTACATTACTAAAAGTATTATTTTTTGCAGCTATTTGTAGAATTATTCTTTTGTTTTCCTTTTCACTAAGTCACGTTTTCATAATTCTGCATCTACCTTAGCGAAAACATTTTATTAAATGAAAAATATTGTTTTTCATAAAAGCTACTTAGAATGCTCTTGAAAAAAATCTCCTAAAATATTCAAGGCACCATTATAAAAAACTATATAAATCTAAAGAAAAGAATACTGTCACAAGTATATCCTTATATTGCCCTCACAATTTTCAATTTATCCGTGTACTGTATTTTCCATATAAATGTAAATAGATATTTCAAACAAACTAAAAGCAAAAGAAGCAATCAAGAATAAACAATCAAATTGAAATAAACAAACAAAAAATAAGTGCACACAGATTACATCGTTTATTGACATGCCGAAGAAATATAAACAGTGAAGCTTGCAACATTGAAAATAATATCGTAAAGAAGTTCATAGGAGACATTAATATTTCGAAATCATAATCAAAATAATCAAGTCTTTCTTTCATGAAATACTTTGAAAAAAAATGATTCCTTGATTCATTCTATCTTGTAAAAATCTCTCAAAAGTAAATACTTCTGGACATGTTTGGGAATGCCTAGTTCCTCCACTCCTTCGGGCAACTTAAAGTTGACTCTTAATCGGTTTCTGATGAAGCATCTTGAAAGGTGCTTAAGAGATCTTGGACGCCTTACAGAAGTTCCTTCATAATTCACTAGATTGCAGTACCATTGCCATATGTTGTTCACCTTCTGATAACGTATAAGATCGATCTCTTCAAAAAGCCTAAAAACATCGGTCGACGTCAAAAGTGGATCTGGGATGGAGCTCCAGAGCACTCGCACGGCCATTTCGAGCTCTGCTGATTTATAGGGGATGCAATTGAACCTCATATATACATTCAGAAGCTGAAGTGCACGGAAGTTGAGAGGATCTCTAGAAATAACATTCCAATTTCTCATCCACGTAGCGTAGTCTTCATAATTTAAAAACCTTAAAAAGTAAAAAGAAAGAAAATTTTAATTAAAAAGAGTCCAATTCAATTTTTTAAACGCGTGAAAGAAACGTTACTCTGATTCAATACAGTTTAAAATTGATCGTCAACACGAAATTACAGTTGGTTCTGTTTCAAGGAGATCTGAATTCATAACCGAAGTAAGAATAGTCAAAATGGAAAGGAAACGCTAAGCTATTTGTTTCGGTAATAGAGCCTCCAATTCGCCTAGCATTTCTAGAGATAGAAAATAATGCATTTTGAATATACCCGTGATTTAAATCATTTGATTTTTTTTAAATTAATTACAAGTTTAAATCAGCTGAGACGTAAAAAACAAAAATTAACCAAACGTAATTTTTGTAACATATAATACTAATATATGTACTTACAAAGAAAGATTAATTTAGTTTCAAAATATTTTTGTACAATATAATTAATAAATACATTCTCAAAAATGTGATTTTTCAAAAATGTGATTTTTCATTGATAATGAATGTTTTTTATGGAAGCTATTGTTTTATTACGAAATAATAAAAGGCATATGCATTGAAATTACCAGATTAACTTTCTCATTATTTCTATAAAATGTGTATTGATTTAAATCAAATGTGAATTTTTCAAATCAAATAAATCAATAATTTAAGAAAATTTTAAAAAAATATATAATGATTGAAAAAAATGTATTTTAAACACAAAGCATTTTTCTTTAATAAAATTAATAAATACATTCTTCAGGGGGCAATTTCTTTAAATCTGATATTATTGATAATAAGGATATTTTATTTGGAAATATCGTAGGGGATATGCATGTTATTTATTATGTTTTAAAATAGAGTAAATGTGAATAAGAGTGATATGAGACTTTTAAATTGTAATTCTCCTTTAATACATTTAAAATACTTGATTTTCTGGCTAAAAACATACATCAATTATGCCCATATAGTTTTTTGCTAATTAAAATTCAGTGCTTTTATATCTTATGAAATATGAAGGTAATGAGTATCAAGACTTGCTCAATTCAGAGTGACTTAATTTTTTTTCAGTTATGTTTTCGTATCTAAACTAGTTTTTTCTTCATTATTTATGTGATTGACAAATTGTTTGGCAATTCTTAACAATCATCAGCAAGTTGAACTTAAAAAATATAACTATGATTTTACTTAACCCAGTGATTAGTAAACAATAATATTACAATTATTTTATCCATTATAATAATAACTATTTTAATTAAATTTCTTTTAAACACTATTAAGTCTTATTAAAATCTTTAATCAGATGCTGTAAATGATGAAAGTAAAAAAAAAATTTAAAAAATCGGATTTAAATAAGAAAAATCTAATTTAAACCAAATAGATACGATTTTGTGATTAAAAAAAAAGAAATCATGTATTTTGCCAACAGCTGCTTCTGGGCAGAGCTGTAGTAATAAACATCTTCAAGAGCTGTAGTAATAAACATCTCATCAAGAATCTCCTAATAGAACTGGCAAAAAGGAATAAAATCATTCTTATTTGGGTACCAGGGCATATGGGAATTGATGGTAATGAAAGAGCTGATGAACTCGCAAAACAGGGATCCTCTTTCAATCCAATAGGAACGGAACCCTTCTGTGGAATCAATATGAAGACTACAAAGAAGGCTGTCCTAAAATGGGAAAAACAGGAGATGAACAAAGTTTGGCGCAATTCTCCTGGACAAAAACATGCTAAAAGCATGATCAGCAGCCCTTCTGCAAAAATTGCTTCTGAAATTCTTAGGCTCCCAAGATTGAAGATTCAAACAATTGTAGGCTTCATCACTGGGCATTATCATTTCAGGAAACATCTACATAGATTGGGACTTTTCGAACAAGAACCAATATGTCGGAAATGCCGTGAAGAGGTAGAATCAGCACATCACATCCTATACGAATGTGATGCCCTCGCCCTTACGCGCCTCACTACCTTAGGCAATCCATATCCTAAAGAGCTTCACCTTAATTCCATTAAGGGACTGTCAGACTATATTAATAAAGTAGGCGACCCGAGACAATGGAACTAGGAAAAATTGGGCTTGGAGTATGGTACAAAATGCAACATGTGCAGAGGTGCCACATATCTGACAAGCTCAAGCAAGAAGAAGAAGAAGAAGAAGAATAAACATCTTAGTAGATGAAAGGTAAGAGTTCCAACATTTTCAATGCCCATTTTTTTAAAAAAAATAATGAGCAGAAGTGTGGTTAATACAGATTGGTTAATATTGGTTCAAAATTCTATAAAATGTAACCTCTTTAAAATAAGATTTTTGCAAATTAATTTAAATTTAATATTGCACCCAGAATTTTTATATATTTATTTACCAACTTAAGGCGACAAGAGGGCATCACATGTTCTTTTGTTTGTTTTTTAACTTTTTAACCAATACTCTCTACAAAATCGCAGTTCGGACCGATTTTCAAATTTTAAAATCCCGTTGTCACATTAAAATGAACAAAATAATTTGTTTCATTGCTTAAATATAATTTGAATTTTAAATAAATTACAAAGTAAAAAAAAATTTTAACACATGAGAAATTACTATTAAATGAAAATTGCATAATTAAGCAAAAAATGAAGGAGCATTAATTTGCACCCCCTCCACTGCATACTTGCGTTAGGCGAATATGATTAGCGAGTCCACGATTTTATAAGAAAATGTTTTACAGTTTGATTAAAGTAAAAGGAATGGACTTGAAGGTTGTTTGGAGCGATGTACAACAACTTCGCTTAAAATATTTAAAAGTAGCAATTTGCTTTCGTTATGTGGAATAAGAGTTTTTATTTTAGTTAAATTTTGAAACATCTTTCTAGTGTCAATCATGTGTGCGATATTTTCTGAGCCATAAAACACATTCTTTACACAATATTTTAAAAATCTTTGATATAAAATGTAAAATAAAACAGCTCCCTTTAAAAAAATATCAAATAAAGCTAAACTGTTTGTATATTCAGTGAAATAAAACTGAAGAACTGTTAAAAAAAACCTGTCTCTGGGGTGAATTTAAAAATTATTTACAAGAGCGCATTGTTTTGATACATAGTTTAAGAAAAGTATTATAGATAAGATAAAAATCTTTAATAACGTTAAAATATTTTGCAAGATCCATTAATTTATTTATGAAAATTATTTGCTGGATAAGCCCAAACTGGATAAGAAAACCTAAAACAGAACTTCTACAACAAATCTACGAAAAAATAAATAAATAAATAAATAACTAAGGAGTAGAAAAATAAAAAAAATATGATTTAGAAAATCAGAAAACTATCAATTTTTTTTAATAGAGATAAAAATTATTACTTTAAATTAAAAGAAATAGACAAAAGAAGCTTAAAAATGAATCTCGTGAAACCATGAAAAAGTGCTCTCTAATGCCAGAATGACGCCAAGCACTAAATGTGAAGCGCTTGATTTAGCTAAGGAAAATTACACAGCGATTGAGACTGCTAATAAAGGATATCAAAAAGAGAGTTGAAAATGAAAAATAAGCAAATAAAAACGATAAATTAATTAATTTTACATGTTCAAAATCAAAAATATTTTCTGAATTAAAAAAGATAGTTGAAGGAACTACAAAGGGTAAGAAAGAACAACTATGACGCATCTCTAGAGGTAATGCAAGATAGTGGGACGAAAAATAAAAAATAAAGATAAATAAAGACAAATATTGACAGAGAATTCAAATTTTTTTTTTTGACAAAATAATTTTATTCGATTTTGAATTGAATGAAGTTGGTAACGAAACGATAAAGAGGAATAAAAATATAAAATACATTTATACGAAATAGAAAACATGTAAATGTAAAAATATGTATAGAGAGATAGAAAGCACGCAATATGTAAACAGAAAATATGTAAAACTGAAACAGAAAGACGAGCGAAAATAAAAAACATGTTAATAAGAAAAGCTAAAGAAGGAATCTTCACACCACATCTACGAAGAAAAACATGTAAAAACAAAACAGAAAATTTAGCAACTAAAAAATAGTAATCAATGCAAAAAAAGGAAAAGTTGTAGTTGTTGTTAATTTACGTCGCACTAGAGCTGCACAATGGGCTATTGGCGACGGTCTGGGAAACATCCCGGGGAATGATCCGAAGACATGCCATCACAATTCTGATCCTCCGCGGAAGGTTCACACCCGCTTCGGTAGCCCGACGACCTGCGTGCGAAGTCGAGCACTTTACGGTAGCACAGTTTAACGAGGACCAATACCGCATACCCTCGGTCCCTACGCAGACTGATCCAAGTGGTCACCCACCCGCACACTGACCGCAGCCAGTGATGCTTGACTTCGGTGATCTGCTGGGAACCGTGTCTTAACGATCAGTCCACTGCAAGCAATCGGTAAAATTTAATGAATAAATTATATTATTTACAATTGTTGTTTTTAAATACACCAAAGAGGTAGAAGAAAAAAAAAAAGCATAAAAAAGAACCTTTGTAAAACATAAATGCAAAAAAAAAGAAAAAACTTGAATTTTTTTGATAAAATTATAACCTTGAATTAATACGAATGGGTAAAATAAAGAGAAGGAAAAAATAATCTTTATAATACGCCTATTAAGTAAAAACAAATATCGAATATAATGAATTTTGTATGATAAATATGTAAAATAAAATATGTAAAGAGAATATGTAAAAAAAAATGAATAAATGAAATTAAGGCAAGAAATAAAAAAACATCCGAAAATAAGGAACTTTGTCAAATAAAGTACATCATTTTGCTCAAATAGGAATGAGTGAAAAATTATAAAGAATTATGTGTCTGCAGTCAATTACAGCCTTGTTACAGAATATTAGAGATAGCAATGAATTAGAGATAGCAATGATAATGAACTAAGCTTCTAAGTTCAATGATAATGAACTAAGATTAATGAGAAGTTATAGCAATTAAAACAAAAACTTATAAAAATTATTATTAATTTCAGAGCAAAGCATGTATTTTTAAATGTAAGAATATTTGTCTCATTAGTTTGCTTGAAATGGAAGTAACTGCATATCCTATAAATTCCATGCATATCCTTAATCAAGGTCATAGGAATCAAGGTATTGTACCACTTATTTCATATGCTTCAGGATCTTGAGGAAACTCTTTGAGAAAGAAGATAAATATTAGAATCCTTAGAAGAACTCAAAGAAGATTGCTTCTACGTATTATTCGGGGATATAGAACTGTTAGTTATGATGCGGTCTTTGTTATCGCTGGTCTTCCGCCTATTGATTTAATTATCTTAAATAATCTTCAATTAAAGGAGAAGATAAAAGACAACGATTGTCTAACCCTGGACGGGAAGCTTCCTATTTCATGTTTGCCCCACCCAACATGCAGGAAACTTGTTATAATTATTCCTTATGTAAATAATGTTTTTCAGGAATATAAAACCATCTGCTTTACGGATGGTAGTAAGCTTGATGGAAGGGTTGTTCTTGCTTTTGTAATTTACGAAAATGGAACAGAGAAGGTTACTGCCAAGCACCGACTACATAATGAATGTACTGTTTTCCAGGCTGAACTTTTGTGTATAAACCTGGTTGTTAAGTGGATACAAAATTCTTTTAGTGAAAACCAAATTTTTAAATATCTCATTTGTACAGATTCTCTTTCTTCACTTTTTCTTTTGCGTGACACGACTACTACTGAGTAGCTTGTGGTGGAAATTCACTCGATTTTGAACGCTCTTGAAAACGTAACTATTCATTTTTCTTACGTTCGTGACCATAGCGGTATTTTGGGCAATGAAAGAGCAGACCAATTGGCTAGGGAAACTACATGTGGTGAAATAGTCTTAAGGGTGTCTGTTCCAGCTTCTCACTGGAAGCGCATCGCTAGCGATAAAATCATTGCGGACTGTAATGCTGAATTTCTTGCTTCACCTCGGTCGCTTTGGACGAAAAGGCTCTTTCCATCCATTTTTCACTGTTTGCAATGTAAATTCTTTGCAACTGATTTTAAATTTACTCAAATTTCAGCAAACCATGCAAATTTTAAGAGATATTTATTTCGTTTCCATCTGCAGACCAGTGGAATTTGTGCTTGCGGTGATGCTGATGAAGATGCTGAACATATTATTCTTCATTGTAGTCAGTATGNTTTAGTGAAAACCAAATTTTTAAATATCTCATTTGTACAGATTCTCTTTCTTCACTTTTTCTTTTGCGTGACACGACTTCTACTGAGAAGCTTGTGGTGGAAATTCACTCGATTTTGAACGCTCTTGAAAACGTAACTATTCATTTTTCTTACGTTCGTGGCCATAGCGGTATTTTGGGCAATGAAAGAGCAGACCAATTGGCTAGGGAAGCTACGTGTGGTGAAATAGACTTAAGGGTGTCTGTTCCAGCTTCTCACTGGAAGCGCATCGCTAGAGATAAAATCATTGCGGACTGGAATGCAGAATTTCTTGCTTCGCCTCGGTCGCTCTGGACGAAAAGGTTCTTTCCATCCATTTTTCACCGTTTGCAATGTAAATTCTTTGCAACTGATTTTAAATTGACCCAAATTTTAACAAACCATGGAAATTTTAAGAGATATTTATTTCGTTTCCATCTGCAGACCAGTGGAATTTGTGCTTGCGGTGATGCTGATGAAGATGCTGAACATATTCTTCTTCGTTGTAGTCAGTATGCGAGTGCCCGAATCAATTTAAAGACTGATTTGAGACGTCTTTCTATTTGTTGGCCACCTGTCTTTTCTGATAAGACAGGTGGCCAACAGTTGGTCAAAAGTATTGAAAGTCTTGCGGCCTTGCGGAATTTTGATTTTAATGTAAATTTTTCTTATTTTTGTTTTCTACTTACAGCTGTAATCCTCATGCTATACTTTGTGGTGCATGAGGAGTTTCAAGTCGATTAAATAAAAAAAAATAAAACAATCCTTAAAATTACTCATTTGCACCCTAATGTTATGGTGGGAGCGTTTTCTAGTTTAATTATAAGGAATTCAGGGCAATTAGACAGTTTTTGATGCTTAAAAAATCTTTACCTATATTCAAGGATATAACCTTTTATAGGAAACAAAACAGTCGTAACTTTTTATATTTACTTACATGAAATTTCTAAAATATCTTTTAAAATGTTTGCAGCTGTAAAAATGTTAAGTCATAGGATAACATTTCGATTACGATAGGTATAATTTTAAAAAAAGGGTAAAAGTCAAAACAGGTTAAAAAATTTAAACAGAAAAGTAACTGAAATAAAAACTTACTTTACAAGGAAGAGCCACAGATATACTGGGTGAATTGCTTTTGATGATCCGTTAGAGGCTCCTGCTTCTGTTATTCTGATGAATGCTTCGGGATTTCTTAAAAGACTACCGTGAGAAAAGCCTTTTTCTTCTGGAAGTTTTTCCTTGAACATAGACCAGAGATCCAATTTAAGTTCCTTGATCACTTTTAAGACAATATCAATAGTCCCGACTTTATTAAATATCACATTATAATAAATATGATCCAATATGCCATTAAATATAGTATCTGTAATGTTATTAGCTTTAGCACTATATGCAAGAAGAAAGCGTTTTTCGTCAACGTTAAAATATTCCGCCATTGCTCGAACTGTGATAGGTAATTTTACGACACAGTATAGCCTGGTAAAACTTCCAGTTAGTAATAGATTCAATATTATTAAACCAGCTGCACCCTTATGCCTGCTAGTACGCATTCGCATTGTACATTTTGAACAGGCCAATAGGATAGAACGTCATACGCACGTCATATGTTCACATGTCATATGTCCTATGAATGGTGTTACCTTTTCTAAAGATTAGGAGACTCCTCCCTCAGTCAGCTTGAATTACCACCAACGTGGTTTGTACTTTTTTTTCCCTAAATTTTCAAAAAAGGAATATGAATAAAAAACAAAAAATAAATAAGAAAAATAAAAAAGAAAAGAAAGAGACTGTTTATTTTCTTCCTAAAACACAAAACTCCAAGATTACTGTGATTATGATTAATCATAGCGAAACTGAAGGTTACATAGTTTTGTAAACTAATTAACCGCACTTGAAAAAAAATATTTAAGCCAAGAAATTCAAAATTTGTGACACAATAACCTAATGAGTCTTTGACATATATCGGTAAGTATTTTTCGTTTAAAAGCTAATTTTATAAAAAAAAAATTTTAACTTTAATGTTAGATTTAATTAGGCAATAATTTTTTAAAAAAAATTTTATTGGAATAATCGTATAACAATAAAAAGCTAATTTCTCAATAAAAATGATATGAATATGGGACAAAATTCAGTTAAATATACTGACCTTAAAAAACTAAATTGAAAAATATTTTGGGATTAAAAATACACTGAAGGTATATGTTATAACTTTGAAATACGGAATATGCTAAGGAACTCTCCTTTCACAAGAATATTTACATATCAAATTTATGGGTTCTGAAGGATTAACTTCTTTTAAAACAGATTTTGCACGTTTTAATAAAAATTCTGTTTTTCAGAGACTTTCTGCATTGGTGTGATTTTATATTTTATCAGAAAAAACAAAGTGAAAAATGACTGGTTGCATACTTAATAAGTCGCTACTATTTTTAATGAATAATTAAGTGGCGAGTGGTTAGTTTCAGACTAACATGCCACAACCACACATTCGCCATAACCACACATTTTGCCATAATTACGTGAAAATATATTAAATGTTTATTTAAAGATAAAACATACTTGACCAATTTTAATAAAGCAATGCTTTACTTTAATAAGAATTTGGTAACTCTCAAAAAAAATTTTATTGACACAACATTCCTTTCTTAATATTTCAATATTATATTATTCTATGTTTATATATTATAAAAAATTACTCTGTTATTTTTTTCTAACTTAAATCACTACATTTTAGTTGCTATAAATGGTTCAGCATAGACCCTCTGATGAAAATAAAAATAACATGTGGCTTATGGAATAAAAACATGTACATCTGTATTATACATCTGTCATTATTATAGGAGGTTCGCTGTTCCATAAGAGCGCACACTGCATCTCTTACTGAGAAATTAGATTGTAATTATTATATGAATTTTATTTTAAGTTAAGAAGAGAAGTTTTATTTTTTGAAAGCACCAAACCACATACACTTTACTTTTCTTATTGACAACTGCTCGGCAAGGATTAAATATTAATAAATAAGTAAATAATTGGATAAAAATCAAAGAAATTCTGATCTCACTTCAGATATGTAAATTGTTTATGTGAAAATAATCTTAGCTTTGAGCTTATGCTTTTAATTAATTAATTTCTTAAATCATATTTAAATTGCAATACATATACTTAATTGATTAAAAAGTAACGGTTGCTTAAACTGTTCAGTTTTTTCCTATTACCTATTACTAAAATAAAGAAATTATGTTAAAAAAAATAATTGTTTTGGTTTAGCATTAAAATTTGTTGAATATTCAAGTTCAATTTTGAATTATCAAATTTGAATTAATAACTTATCTGTGAATTTATTCATAGAAATCTCTGAATTTAATTATTGAATTTATTGCAATTTTTCTATAGCTTGATAGTTAATTTAATGCTTAGTTACTTTCTTCCTTATACTTAATTAGCATCTGAATATATAGACTACGAAAATCGCAATCGATCAAAATTGTAGGTCGCATAAGTTTCCATTTATTTATTTTGCAACTGATAAAAACACCGAACATTTTATAACCAAAAGGCTGCAGTTTACCTTACTACTAGAGATAAGGTGTCTAGTCTAAAGTATAAGCGTATAAAATGCTCTAAATACTCCAATTTTGGCTGAAACTAAACAGATATAGGTTAGCGTTAGTAACACGTAAAGAATAAGTTTTAAAAGAAAAAAAAAATTATTCTGCCTAAAAAGTACGTAATTAAGAATACGCCTACCCAGTAAAAAAAGGAAAATGTTTAGTATGAAGAAAAATTTTTGCTTGCTGCTTTGTTTAGTTCTGAACTTGAAAGGGCAGTTTTTGGTATTTCATGAAATCTCATGAAATATACAATATATATATCAAGATTACTGTGATTNTAATTACATGTTTTGCACGAGTTTATATCAAATATATATATATATATATATATATATTTGTCTCTCTTGAACAGTGATATTGTATAGTTTGCTTGAATAGTTGTATTTTAACATTATAATAATAATATAATATTGTTTAATAAAATTGTGTGATCTTGAATCTAAATAATATTTCAGAAAATTTTATAAACTCTATAAAAAATCATTGAGTTAATTGTATGCTATTATTAATAACTTTACTAAAATCTTCTCTGTTAATTTATACTTTTTACCATTGTTCAAATCCTATTCGGATAAATCTCTGCGAATTGGGCAAATCATGCTTTTCACTTTCTTTTTTAAATGCGTGTTAACCTCCTAAAATCATTAAAGTTTTGGAATTAAATATCTAACATATTAATTAAAAACTTCTTTAAATAACCCAGTATACCATTATTACCTCACGCGCATCCAATTTCGGACCCATAATCTTTATAGCTAACAAATCAAATGCGCTCAAATCAAACTCTCTCAGATTGGTTCCTCAGGCCGTACTCTACAATACCAGATTGGTTTGGATATAAGTTAGCCTTTAATAAGTAAAATGTATCTAAATTTTTAAAAAAAGAGTATTTCTACCTATCTTCAGTTATTATTTATAGAGAAAGGGAAACCCAGATATCTAAGAAACTGATGTAAAAGTTTATTTGAAAGAAAAGAGTGCTCCGTTTAAAAAATTACTTCCGTTAATCAAATTAAATAAAATATTAACGCGTTTTGATGAGCGAGTTTCTAATAGGCTTTTTATTAAATTAATTATTATATACAGATTTTAAATATTTATTCGATTTACAAAGAAATCATCTTTGAAAAGGTCGGAGTAACAATTTCAATCTTCTATGTATACGTCAATGTTAAATCTTTCTAATATCAACTAGAAATCATTTGTAATTTTTCCTAGTAAGAAGGCAAAAAAAATCGTAAAACTAATACCTTTTACTTATTGCTTTAACTCTCTATTTTTAAAAAGCGAGGTTCAGGATACCTAACTAAACTATCTCATTTTTAACAAGAGAAAAATTTGTTTATTTCAGACCATCATATATAAATCCTACCCTATCATTTTATCACATACAACTTATAATTAAAATCAACAGTATATTTTATCAGTGTTGCAAGAAGGTATTACACTCAATTTTTTTTTTCGCAAAATCCTGGTATGTTTTGGAAATATGTTACCAAATTCTTCTGTCGCCAAATTTTTCTGTCCTTTTCCTGCAGTGTTGTGCAATTTTATTCCGTCTACAATCTGTAGGCAAAATCATCTTCCCTCGAGATATATAAAATAACTGAAATCAGTTGTGAATTCTATATTCAATAAAGCCATCAAGCCGTTAAAAAACCATATACAATTGATTTGAGTGAGCTAATTGAACATTCATATATTTTATTCATAAGTAGTTCTCGGCATAGTTTTAAGTAATGTGATAAATGTGCAATTATAATAATGAAATTTAAAATGCCAGTACGTTATTAAGTATCCTCGTTACTAAAGTTTTTAAAATATAATTTTGAATGCAACATTGAATGGTGGCATTTCAAATTCACTAAAATTTTACATTACTAAAATATTACGCTTTGTAGCTATTTACAGGATTAATTTTTTTGTTTCTCTTTCACTAAGTCACGTTTTCATAATTCTGTATGAGCTTTTGCGTTGACTTTTCATTAAATTGTAAATTAAATACTGCTTCTCATAAATGCTGCTCTGAATGCTTTGAAAAAAGGATCAAAAAATAATCAAAGCACCACTATAAAATACTATGTAAATCTATACAAAAGAAAACTGCAAATTGTAAGAAACAAAAATATCACATTATCAAACATATGTCACAAGTATTAATACTTTTAATGTTATATTGTGCTATATTGTCCTCACAATTTTCAAATTATCCATGTACTGTATTTTCTATGTAAATGTAAATAGATACTTCAAGCAAACAAAAAATAAAAGAAGCAAATAACAGCAAGCGATTAAATTGAAGGATACAAACAAAGTATAATTACACATAGATTACATTGTTTATTTATATGCGGGAGAAATATTTCAACAGTGAAGCATGCAACATTTAAAATAATATCGTAAAGAAGTTTATAAGAAACATTAACATTTCGAAATCATAATTAAAATAATCAAGTCTTTTATTTATTTCGTGAAATACTTTGAAAAAATTGATTTCAAGATAAAGTATTCATTCTATCTTGTGGAAATCTCTCAGAAGTAAATACTTCTGGACAGGTTTGGGAATGCCCAGTTCCTCCACTCCTTCGGGCAACTTAAAGTTGTCTCCTAATTGGTTTCTGATGAAGCATCTTGAAAGGTGCTTCAGAGATCGTGGACGCCTGACAGAAGATTCTTCATAATTCACTAGATTGCAGTACCATTGCCATATGTTGTTTATCTCCTGATAATACATAGGATCGACCCCTTCAAAAAGCCTAAAAATATCAGTGAAGGTCAAAAGCGGATCTGGGATGGAGCTCCAGAGTACTCGCACGGCCATTTCGGTCTCTGCAGATTTACGGGTGATGTAAGTGAACCGCATATGAAGATTCAGAAACTGAAGCGCACGGAATTTGAGAGGATTTCTGGAAATATCATCCCAATTTTCTATCCACGTATTGTAGTTTAGAAAATTAAGAAACCTAAAAAGTAAAAAAAAAAAATTAATTAAAAAGACTCAAATTAAATTTTTTAAACGCGTGTAAGATGTGTTACTCTGTTTCAATACATTTTAAAAGTGATTTTCAACACGAAATTATAGCTGGTTCCGTTTTAAGGGGGATCTTAATTCAAAATAGAAGAAAGAATAGTCAAAATGGAAAGAAATTGCTAAGCTATTTTCCCAATTGTTTCAGCAGTAGATCCTCCAATTCACTTAATTTTTAAGATAGAAAATAATGCATTTTGAATATAACCGTGATCTTAATCATTTGATTTTTTTTAAATAAATTACAAGTTTAATTCAGCTGAAGCGTAAAAAACATAAACTTAAACAAACATAATTTTTTTAAAATTTAACAATAATATACTTAATAAAAAATATTATTAATTTAAGTTTAAAATGTTTCAATATAATACAATTAATAAATATATTCTTAAAGGTGTGATTTTTTAAATGTCAGATGCCATTGATAATGAATGATTTTTATGGAAGCCATCGTTTTTATTACGAAATAATAAAAGGCACATGCAATGAAATTACAACAATAATAATTTCATTATTTCAATAAAATGTGCATTGATTTAAATAAAATGGGTTTTTTTTTTAAAACAAATGAATAATTTAAACAAATTGAAAAACAAATTGATTAAAAAAATTATTTTAAACACAAAATATTTTTCTTTCAATAAAATTAATAAATAGATTCTATAGGGGGCAATTGTTTTAAATCTGATTTTATTGATGATTAGAATTTTTTATTAATAAAAATATTGAAAGGAATAGTCATGTAAATTATTATGCTTTAAAATAGAGTAAATGTGAATAAGAGTCATATGAAAGTGTTGAATAGTAATTCTCCATTAAACACATTTAAAATAATAATTTTTTTCGCTGTAAACATATTTCAATTATACCCATTTAGTTTTTTGCTAAATAAAATGCAGTGCTTTTATATCTTATTAAATATGAAGGTAGTGTGTATCAAGACTAGCTCAATCCAGAGTGACATAATTTTTTTTCAGTTATGTTTTCTTCCCTAAACTAATTTACTTATCACTAGGTATCTGGTTGACAAATTCATTGGCGATGTTTAACAATCATCAGAAAGTTGAGATTGAAAAATATAACTATGATTTCTTTAAACCCAGTGATTAGTCAGCAATAATATATTAATAATTTTATCCATTTTAATAAGAAATAATAACTATTTTGATTGTATTACTTTTAAACAATATCAGTAAGTCTTATTAAAATCTTAAATCAGATGCGTTAGATAATAAACTTAAAAGAAAATACAAAGAAAAATCCGATTTAAGACAAATATATACGATTTTATGATCAGAAAAGGACATCATGATTTTTGCCATCCACGGCTTCTGGTCAGTGTCGTAGTTATTAACTTTTTAGTATATGAAATGCAAAAGTTCTAACATTTTCAGAGGCTATTTTCTTAAAGGTAATGAGCAGAGGTTTGGTTTATATAGATTAGTAAAAATCCGCTCAAAATTCTCTAAAATGTAACCACTTTAAAGTAACATTTTTGCAAATTAATTAAAATTTATTAATGCACCCAGAACCTATACTTTCTAATCAACTTAGATGACAAGAGGGCATCCATTGATTTTTGTATAACTTTTTAGCCAATAATCTCGAAAAAGTCGCATTTTTCTAATTAAAGTTTAGACCGATTTTTAAAATTTAAAAGCCCCTTGTCACCTAAAGATTACAAAAAAATGTTTTTTCATTGTTTAAATGTAATTTGCATCTTAAATAAACAACAAAAGTAAAAAAAAATATAACACATAAGAAATTACTATTAAATGAAAATTCTAAAATAGGCTAAAAAATGAAGAAACAGTAATTAACATCCCCCCACTGCACACTTTCTTCTGGCAAATATTATTAGCGAGACCACGATTTTATCAAAAAATGTTTTACTGCTTGATTGAAGTAGAAGGAATGGTCACTAAGGTTGCATTGAGAGTTACACCAACTTAACTAAATGTGGGATAAGATGTTAGCAGAGGTGTCCACCATGTTTTAGAATTCCCTATTACCATGAATTACGACCACCTATGACTAAAGTTAAGAATTTAGGGAATCACGTCACTTTTCCTCTACTCAAAGGCGATTCAATATGTTCCGCATTTATTGTGTAGTCAAAAAGAAGTAATATATCCAAATGTATCAAAAGAAATAATGGTTTAAATAATTACTTCGTAACTATAAACAGTTCAGTATGAATCTTTTATTTGAAGCAAAAATAACATGGAGTTTATAGAATAAAAACAGGACTTCATACTTGGTGCATTATAATAAAAGTTTCGCTGTTATCGGGCGTCTTACCAAAGAGCACCGAATGTATATCTTTCAATTTAATTATATTTCAAATCTTATGAGAATTTAATTTTGAGTTAATAATAAAAGAAGTTTCATAATTTAAAAGTACCCCACTACAGACACTTCTTTTTCTATTGACAATTGCTTGGAAAGGGTTAAATATTATTAAATAAATAAATAAATTTTAAAAAAAATTCCGATATAACTTCAGTCATGTAAATTGTGTATGAGAAAAATAATCTTAACTTTAAGTTCACGAAGTTTTGTTTAAGTTTTTAATTTATAATTTCATACTCAGTATTTTAAAGCATTGTTTAAGTCGCACAATTTGCAGAATCAAAAAGAATGTCAGAATTTGATTATATCTCCTTTAACAGAATATTTAATTGATTAAGACCTAAATAGATAAAAAAAAGCATTATAAATTTAGGATTTATTTTTATGAATAAGTTTATGCATTGTTGTAATGATAATGTTGCTCTACCTGTGATAATGATTACAAAATGAAAATTAATTTTAAAAAAGGATGTCGGTAATGATTTGAAAAAAGCATTTGTTTTTTCTCCGACTAAACTGAATAGCAAAACAACGAATCTTTATAGGGGAAAATATTCCATTGTTGCAATATATTATACACAAATTTACATTCAATAAACTAAGTAATGAATGAAAAAAAACATGAAAAATAACGAAATTTTTGTAAGCAAAAATGGATTTTTTATTAAGGAGGCAAAAATAGAGAATGCATTTAAAAATAAGAGTGCATTTTTTACAAACTATTTCCTCGGCAAGTCAAATATTTAAAACAAAATTGTTTCAAATTTATGTACATAAACACAACGTTTACAAACTCCATTAAGACTAGAAAACAATTGTTGACTTTTATGTAAAGAAGGTTATTATAAAAGTAATTATCTTGTATTTCTGAAAAAAATTTAATATTTCTTCAGGGAGAAAATCATCTTAGGATCTCTTTATAGAATTTGAAAAAACATTATTTTGATAATTAAATAACTTTTAAAATTATAAATCGTTCAAAAGTTATAAATCGTTTAAAATCTTATAAGAATTGTACTTCTTATAGGAGTAATATTAAAAATATTATTTTGAAAAATGTTTTTGAGAAGATTTAAAAATCATTGCCATTACAATTATACTCCTATTTTTCAGTTTATAAATTAATACAACTAATAATAAAATCATTGACTAAATATTTTTCTCAGAGCATTATTTATATTATTCTTGTAATTCCTTAATTTAATGCAACGAATTCACTGTAAGAAATTTCATGTTCTTGTTGGTTTTATTCTATTCTTTAATCGCCACTGTTCTTTCCACTGCCCAGGAAAAAGTCTTAAGCCAGCTTGAATGTGTTACCTATTCACTTAATTTAAAGGCACTTATTATTTTCATTACAATTGTGCCTATAAAGCCTTCGCAATACAAAATTTGACATTCTAAGATTTCATATGCATTAGAATTTTTATCTTAGTGACACATAATATTTTATTACATAGAATAATAGGTAGGCTGTGTCCTACCTATTATGTATTTTTAAGACATTTTTTAATGTGTAATTTAAATTAAAATACTTTATGCTATACTTTAAGGGATTTCTAAAACAGAATTGTTACAAGTCGTATCATTGTAATATCAAAGCTGTAAGTTTTACTGATTTAAAAATTAACAGGCAGCGGCGGAAAACTAGGACAAATTAATTGCATCACAGAATGGAAATTAACTAATTTCTTTCCAATTTGTGAGTTCATCTCTCTTTGTATCTTCTTTCCACACTCAATACAAAATTTTTCACAATAGTCGGGGTACTTAGTGAACGATTTTTTTCTTCTTTTTTTTTCTTTGGCCTTAACAATATTAAGCGAATGATCCACTATTATGCAGTTGTTTGTAAGCAAGAAAAAAACTGTTTCAAATCGTCCGTCTGGTCTCTACACAATTGTGCTGAATAAAAATTTTGCCTCAATAAGGCTACAATCTCATTAGAATTGGATAGTAAGACACTTTATTTTTCTCTTATGAAGTTACATCAAAGAATTTTTGTCCAGTTTATTTTTTACACCCTTAATATTCATTGAGTTAATTATAAAATAATAACTGAATATCCCATTTAAAAAAATTTACTAGTGTTATAAAAGCAATAAATTTACTCAATTGAAAATCTGCACTCAAAATATTTAACAGTGGCAATTTCCCTTTGATAAGGGGAATATGTGATTTTATTTTAGTTAAATTTATAATAATCTTTCCAATGTCAAATATGTGTACAATATTTTCTGAGCCATGAAACACATCCTTCACACAACAATTGAAAAATCTTCGTTATAAAACATAAAATAAAACTGCTCCCTTAAAAGAAATATTAAATAAAGCTAAACTATCTGTATATTCAGTGAAATAAAACTGAAGAACTGTTAAAAAAAACACTGTCAATGGCTTGAAGTCAAAAATCATTTACAAGAGCGCATTGGTTTGATATTTAATTTAAGAAAAGTATTATAATTTGGACAGAAATCTTTAATAATGTACATAATATTTAGCAGGATCTATTATTTCTTACATAAAGTTTATCTATTCAATGTAAATAGGTTTTTCTCAAAAAAGGCAGTAAACTAAAAGAAAGAAAAAATATGAGTTTTGTACGAAAGAGTACATAAAATATTAATTTCAATTTAAACAATATTTTAAGCTCAATCTGGGTAAGAAAGTCTGAAACAGAACTTCAAAAACAAATCTACGGAGAAAAAACAATAAATAACACAAATAAAAAAACTAATGAGTAGTACAAAAATTATCACTAAGAAAATCGGAAAATAATCAATTCTGTCTCATAAAGTTAAAAGTTATTATTTTAAATTAAAAGAAATAATCAAAAGAAGCGTAGAAATGAAACTCATGAAAAGATGAAAAAACAAGAGCTCTCTAATGCCGGGATGTCGCCAAGCAATGAATGTGAAGCGCTTGCTTTAGCTAAAGAAGAATATACAACGATTGAGATTGCTAGCAAGAAAAAAAAAGCGGGTAGAATTTAAAGAATGAGCAACAACAAAAAAAACAATAAACTAATGAATTTTACTCGTTAAAAATCAAAAATATTTTTCCGAATTAAAAAAGATGGGTGACGGAACGATAAGGATTAAGAAAGAATCGCTACGACGCAACTTTAGACATAATGCAAGATAATGGGACGAAATACAAAATTTAAAGGTGACTAAAAGCAAAATAATAACAAAGAAGTATTGACAGAAAATTTAAAATTTTGTTTGATGAAATAATTGTCTTTGATTTTGAATTGAGAGTATTGGGTAAATGATAATAAAAATAAAAACATGAGGATCTCATAATAAAAATATGAGATACATTTATTCAAAATGGAAAATATGTAATTGTAAAAATATGTATAGAGGAATAGAAAGCATGCAATATGTATATAGGAAATATGTAAAACTAAAACAAAAAAATGGGCCGAGAATGAAGAAAAATTAGGAAAAAAACATGTTAATAAAAAAAGCCGAAGAAGGAATTTTCACACCACATCGATGGGAAAAAAAATACAAAAACAAAACAGAAAAATTAGCCGAGAAAAAAAAATAATAACCAATTCAAAAAAGGAAACGGCAATCGGTAAAATTTTTTGGATAACTTACATTATTTGCAACTGTTGACATAAAAAAGAACCTTTATAAGACATAAATGCGAAAAAATCAATTAATCATTTTATTGGACAAAATTGTAACCTTGAATTAATATGAATGGATAAAATAAAGAGAAAGTACATCTTTATAATATGTACATCTATTAAGTTAAAAAAAAACGGAGAATTATAAATTTTGTATGATAAATATGTAAAATAAAGTATAAAGGGAATTTGCAAAAGAAAAAAATTAATAAATGAAATTAATTTGTTTGTTAGGATATAAAAAAAAAAGAAATAAAAAAGAAATCTGAAAATAGGGAACGTTTTCTAATAAAGTATAATATTATTTTTATCAAAATGAAATGGATAAAAAAAGTTATAAGAAATTAGGAATCGGCAGTTATCGGCAATTATTGCCTTAGAATCGGCAATTATTGCCCTGTTTCAGAATATGTAAAGGAATCTGAGATAACAATGATAATGAACTAAGATAATAAGAAGTTATAGCAATTAAAACAAAAACTTATAATAATTATTATTAATTTGAGAGCAAAACATGTATTTCGAAATGCAAGAATATTTGCCTCATTAGTATTGCTTAAAATGAAAGCTACATATATTATAAATTCCATGCATATCCCTAAAATTACCCACCTGCACCCTAATGTTAAGGTAGGAGCCTTTTTCTAATTTAAATATAAGGAATTCAATGCAATTTTCATTACATTTCAGGTTTAAAAATATTTTAAGGTTGCATTAGGTAACTCTACATTTAATCTAAAATTATTTTCTATTACAAACTGGATCATGTAGGAAAGAAAGAGACAGTGTTTTGGTGCTTCTCTTCAATCTTTACATATATTTAAATCTTTACAAATATTTAAGGATATAGCCCTTTAAAGGAAACAAAACACCCGTAAGTTTTGAGATTTACTTGCAGGAAATTTCTTAAATATCTATAAAAGTGTTTGTAACTCTATAAAATTTCAAGTCATAAAACTAAATTTCGATAACGATACCAAAAATTTTAAAGATGGGGTAAAAACCTAAACTGGTTAAAAAATCTCTAAGCAGAAAAGCAGCTGAAATAAAAACTTACAATGGAAAGAAGGACAGCTCAGATGGGTATCCCAAAAGTGGTCCGTTATAGCCTCTGATGAATGCTTCGGGATTTCTGAAAAGACTAAAAATAAAAAAAAAACTGTCCATAAAATGCATAAAGAGAATATGTAAAAAAATGACTCAGAAATAAGTGAAATTAAAGCAAAAAATGAAAAATAAATATTAAAATAAGTAATTTTAGTCTTGTAATAAGTAAGTAATTTTTAAGTAATTTAATAAGTAATTTTTTCAAATATTAAAATAAGTTTTTTTTTGTATAATATTATGTTAACAAAAAACAATTGTGTAAAAAAATTATAAAGAAGCAAGGATCTGCAGTCAATTATTGAAAATTGCTTGTTCCAGAATATATTAAGGAAGCAGAGATATTCTAAAAGCAATGATAATAAAATAGCATTAATGAGCAAAAATTTATAACAATAATTATCAATTTTAGTACAAAGCCTGTATTATTTACCTCATTAACAATGCTTGAATTGAAAACAGCGGCATATCATATAAATTTTATGCTAATCCCTAAAATTAACCAATTTAAATTTAAATATAAAGAATTCAATGCAATTTTTAATTAATTATAGCTTTAAAAAGATTTAAAATTCACATTAGTTCTACGTCTATTTTAAAATTATTATATTCAATCTATTACTGGTCTTAAAAGTAAAGAAATATATTTTGGCACTCAGCGCTATGAATCTTAAAATACTAATTATTTTAATAAAGGGACACTAATTATTTTAATAAAGGGTAAAACATGAACAAGTTTAAAAATTTAAGCAGAAAAGTAACTGAAATAAAAACTTACATTTCTAAAAGGGACAACTGATATATGCGTATTGCGTTTGTTGATCCGTTAGAGGCTCCTGCTTCTGTTATTCTGATAAATGCATCGGGATTTCTTAAGAGACAACAGTGTGATAAATCGACATGTTTTCCTTCAAGTTCTTTCTTGAACATAGACCAGAGATCCAATTTAAGTTCCTTGATCACTTTAAGGACAGTATCAATAGTCTCGACTTTCTCAAGTACTAAATTAGAATAAAAATGATGCAATATGCCATTAAGAGTAGTATCTGTAATGTTAATTGCTTTAGCACTGTATGCAAGAAGAAAGCGTTTTTCGTCAACGGTAAAATATTTATATTTAGAAGCGGCGTTTAAGCAATAATATTTATCCATGTTACTGATATGGTATTCCGCCATTGCTACAGACATTGAATAGGTAAGACCTAGTCAGGGACTAATATAGGGTATCAGGACAATTAACTTTTCCCGGGGAGTTTTAGAAAAGCCACACTCTTTTGACAAACAGGTTTTACTCAAAAAAAGTGGCGCTCGCAGGGGACTAATATAGGGGATAAGGACATTTAACTTTTCCCGAGAAGGGAGAGGTTAGAAAAGATACAAGCTTTTGACAGACCGGTTTTACGCAAAAAAAGTGACGTTCGCATCTGTATATATATCATTTTCTGACATCCCCGACATACCTAATCATAGCACTTAATCAGTGTTCATCATTAAAAGGCAATTTAATTTAAATTCTAAATTTTTTATTACTGAAAACCAGTATGTTATTTTGTATATTGCTTATAGGTGTCTATTCATCACTTGTAATTTATTTGTTTGTTTGATGAAGTTTTAAAACCAGAGATTATTCAGATTACTAGCAATTATATACTATACTTTCGGTTTTGTTTAGTTTCGGTTTTCAGAACTTGAGTTAATTAAAATCAAAGGAAGGATATTTGCTTATTCAACCATAGTTACTAGGTTGAAGATTCTGGTTCTATTATAACTGAAGTATAGATGCTTATATTACTATTTTTTATATTTAAATATATGATTTAACAGAACGAGTTCAAAACTATAACCCATTGGATTTTATTAGTTTACTATTATTGTTTTAAAATCGCTATAATTAAAAATGCTTTATGTGATTCATTTAAAAAATATATACCTATATATATATATAAGCCGTACAACTGTTCATTAGTTAAATTTTCCGATGAGAATTAAAAATAAAAATCTTTTTCATGAAAATAATTATTCGTAGTATTTATTATGAACTCGATTGTATTATCTATTAATTTCCGATCTTTATTAATGCCTTTGCACAAATAATTATTCAAATTATTATAATATATATATATATATATCAGTATAAAAATCNTATATATATATATATATATATCCGTATCGAAATGTCCCAATTCATTTCTTAACTTCCGCATAAAACTATATCTAACCTGCTAATGAATTGCCCTAAATCAAATGCTCCCCATTTTGTTTTGTTTTAACAAGGAATGCAAATAAAATAACTCATAATTTATGTAAATATTTAAATATTGCTGCCTTTATGAATGTTTTTCCTTAAGAAAACAATTATATTTTGTGCTGCACCTAAAGGGAAACCACAAAGATATCTTTCTGATTGCTTGACGCTTAAAGAGTTCCAGCGAATTGCTCAGTAATCGTAATGAATTTTTTTATATAATAAATAATTTTTTTAGCGTCTTTGACAGACAACCAATTATTTCTGTGAATATAACGAGATGCTCTTCATATATTTTGTAATTTTAAACTCATCCCAAAAATCAAAGTAACGCGCAATTTAACTATCGGCGTAAAACAATGTTTGTAAAAGTTATGAAAATAATTTATTTCTACCAAGATTAAGTTGAAATTAAAATAATCAAATTTAAGGTATCAACTTTCTGAATATAAGCAAAAAGCTCTTCTTTTTAACTCAAGGCGTGAAAAAAATAAGCCACAATTTAAGTATCGAAATACAATTATATATTTATGAAAGCTATAAAAATAACCTATTTCAAATAAAATTAAATTATCAAATTTTGCGTTACACGCTAAAGAAAACTACAAAAATGTTTTTCAGATTACTTTTATCAGTAATAGGTATTCCAGCTAAATCACTAGCTAGTTCACTATCTGAACGAAATTATTTTTAAATAATCAATAATCTTTTCCTCATCCTTGATAGATAGCTTATTATCTTTGTGAATATAAGGAAACGTCCTTCTTATTTTTAATTCAACCCCGAAATAAAAATTACCCATTAGTTACTCGGAGTACAATCATGATCATTAAAGTTATAAGAATAACTTATTTCAATTAAAACTGAATAAAAATAAATCAAACTTTGCTTTACATGCGAAGAACAACCACAAAAAAGTCTTTTAGATTGCTGAACGGTAATAGGATTCTAGCTAATTGTTCATCATCGCAATGAAATTATTTTTTATAATCCATATTTTTCAATCATCCTTAACAGACAAAATCTTCATCTTAGTGAATGTTGTGAGACACTTTTCTTATATTTACAACTTTTAACAAGACCCAGAAATCAAAGTAACTTACAATTTAAATATCAGAGTGAGATCATGTTTATAGAAGCTTTTGTAGTAACCTATATATTATTTTAAATTAAATTAAGAATAAAACAAATGACATTTTGCGTTACGTGCAAAACAAAACCACGAAAAAGTCTTTTAGATTTGCTGAATGGTAAGAGGATTTCATCTGAATGTTTATTGTAGCAATGAAATTATTTTTCAATAATCAATAATTCTTTTTATTATCCTTGATATTAAAAAGAATTATTATTCTTTTGATGCCTCTCATCTTAGTAAATGTTGTAAAATGCTCTTCGTATTTTTGTTACTTTCTTTTGTACACCACCCAGATATCAAAGTAACGTGTAATTGAAATGGAAGAGTAAAATCATATTTTGAAAGACTTTTTGAATGAAAATAATTAGAATTTCTATTACGCACTCATGAAAACCGATAAAATGCATTATTAACAAACTAATTGAACGCTAACAGACAATAATGAGACTATTTATTTCTCAGTAATTAGTATCATATTCCAATTTCTTGTGCTTTTTATGAAATTTAATGTTTTGGCTATCATAGAATGCTTGCTTAAATGTTCTTTATTTTATCTTATTTATTTATTTTTCGTAAGTACAAAAATTGAATTTTTTTTTTTTATTTCAAATATTTGAATTTCAGAATGATGTAAAGAATAAAATTTTAGAAACATATTAGTTTTTTTTTAATTTTAAAATTTACAAATTATAAATCTTTAAAAAATTCTGAAAACAAAATCTGTTATGAAATTTACGAATTTCAGATTTCTTTGGCAAAGAGATTGAATGTTATTAATTATTATTAATCATTACAACTTATAAAAATTAAATTAAAAAAAATTATGTTCAGCTGCTATAAAGAAACAACTATAATAAAGAAACACCGCAGTTTACTAGAGGGCGTGGATATAGAGTAGAACTAGTTATAGTTTTTTTAGTACTAGACCAGTGATGCCAACGTTCACCGTCCCGTACCTCTGGTCGAGTGATTGATTTTTCTGCCTTTATTATATCTTTAGTATTGACTATAGAAGGACGTCCAGTATATTATACTTCGACGTTTTGTATATTATATTCAACCACTCAGAAGATAGACCTTTTCGGAATAATAAAATGTGAGGGATACGAAATTACAAATTTAAGGATTAAAAAGAGTGAGATTACTTTTTTTTAAATTAAAAATCATGAATGTTTGAATAGATCAATTACTGATCTTAAAATAGAGCTATTGTTAATAAAAAGTATTGGATTCTTTACATGTTGACAATAATTATTACTATTTACTTTATTTGATAGTTTCAAACATTGATTAGATTTTTTTTAAAGAGGGGAGTTCAGTTATTTATAAAATTTCTTATCTCTTAATATATGTTTTTAGTAGCAGTCAACAGATTTTCAAAGCACATACATTAATTTATCTTTTTTGATTTGTTTGCTACATTTTTCTAAAGTATTAAAAAAAACATCACTNAAAACAAAATCTGTTATGAAATTTACGAATTTCAGATTTTTTTGGCAGAGAGATTGAATGTTATTAATTATTATTAATCATTACAACTTATAAAAATTAAATAAATAAAAATTATGTTCAGCTGCTATAAAGAAGCAACTACAATAAAGAAACACGGCAGTTTACTAGAGGGCGTGGATATAGAGTAGAACTAGTTAGTTTTAGTTAGTTTTTTTAGTACAAGACCAATGATGCCAACGTTCACCGTGACGTACCTCTGGTCGAGTGATTGATTTTTCTGCCTTTATATCTTTAGTATTGACTATAGAAGGACGTCCAGTATATTATACTTCGACGTTTTGTATATTATGTTCAACCACTCAGAAGATAGACCTTTTCGGTATAATAAAACGTGAGGGATACGAAATTACAAATTTAAGGATTAAAAAGAGTGAGATTACTTTTTTTTAAATTAAAAATCATGAATGTTTGAATAGATCAATTACTGATCTTAAAATAGAGCTTTTGTTAATAAAAAGTATTGGGTTCTTTACATGTTGACNTTTTAAAGTTAAGAATAGCAACCTTAGGAGAAAACTTTTCAACAATGCATAGGGAGGGAACTAATTGATGTTAACTGACAATCCTATTTTCTCCCCTCCCCCAATGAACCCCAACAACCGCGAAGCTACCTTCCCCACCTTATATACCTGGAGAGTCACGAAACAACACCTATCCGGAGTTTGCATGTAGATGTTTTATCGTGACGCTTCGGAAATAAGGGGTTAATATATGTTTTTAGTAGCAGTCAACAGATTTTCAAAGCACACACATTAATTTATCTTTTTTGATTTGTTTGCCGCATTTTTCTAAAGTATTAAAAGAAACATCACTTAGTAAAATGTTCTAAATCAGAGAATAACAACTTCATGCCATGAATAAAAGTTACTGGGCATGTTATAATTCTCTTTTTTATAAATTTGAACTACATAAATGCTAGTAGCTGGAAGTTGAAAAAAATTGTGTTTTTAAAACTTAATTTAGAAGGAAAAAAATTCCCAGCCACTTTTTACCTTATTTTGTTACTATTGATGAAGTTTTAGTGTGAATTGGTGAAAACATTTTTTATTTCAACTAAATTATATGAAAAATATAAGCGAATATTAATTTGTCAAAGACTACATATCTGTTTTTGTAACACTAATTGCAGAGACATTTACTTGAATAGAGTAACTTAGTAGAATTTTCTTAAATTTTTATTTGCATGTCTCTAGCACAGCTCAAATAGACTAGATGAAAAAGAATTTTTCATCTTAGTTCATGCCATACCAAAATTTTTCTTTAAACTGCTTTATGAACTATGTAAAATCACATTTTAATTTTTTGTATTTAATTGACTGAAAGTAATTTAAGATGCTGAAAACTGGTTCGTCTTGGCCCTATCAACTAAGTTTGACAAATAGGTTGCATTTAAATATTTTTTCTGTGTATATTGTCAATAACCAAATAA